ATATACTCTTCAAATAAGTCAAAAAAGTTATGATTTTTTAGTAACCCCTCATTTATTATAACGACTTATATAGCTTTAGGTTATTTTACTCATCAAAACTGGACGAAAGCAAGAAGTTAGCAGCGAGTTCCTCATCCTTTTCACATGCAAAATAAGCTTGTAAAACAAGCGCTTCCGGGAATCCAAGCGCCTTCAGCTGGAAGAATATATGTATCATTAACCGAATATATTATTATTAATATACAGATATTTATATATAAATTGAGTATGCAACCTATTTTGCACACCAATACATTTAAGTATTGCAAATCGCTTTATAATATATTATACGTACCCGCTCAATAGCGTCTTGATCTTGCGGGGTTAGTCGAATAGTTGCTAGGTTTTCTGCCTGTATATTTCTTCCCGTTGCAACTGAATCATCGCCTTCGGGGGCGATTGCAATCGACGGATTATCGGAGCCAGCAACAGAACGGTGACCTCCTGCAGTCGCCTCTTCACTGGGGTTGGTTGTGGGCGTGCTCTCTGTTCGTCTTGGACTCGACGACTGTGTCCGACCAGCACGTTGAGCATTATCGGCTGCCTCCTCATCAAGAGGCTGGTTTAACATATTTAGAAACGCATCTTGGTTCTCAGAAATAAGTTGTAAAAGAGCTGGGTTTGTTTGTCCAATCTAAATTAAGATAATAAAAATCAGAGTTGCAGAAATTATTAAGTGTTCAATACCTGTTGCAGAACAGCATGTAAAAGATGTGGATTTTGGTATATTAGGGAGCGCATCTGTAGGAATTGTGGCTGACTGCGTAAAAACTCGAATGGATCTAGAATATATAATCATAGATATTACCGCATTATATATAAATATTTTTTTTTTACCAGCTGCCGATTCCGCCGTCAAACCACCCTGACGATGACTCGTTTCCACTCTGTTCGGATCTTCCTCATCACCTGGATTCAATAAATTCTCATCCTGCGGTATGCCGTTTATTAAATATTCGACAGCACGTTCGGGATTATTAAAGCTAGCTGCCATTGCTCGCTCAACCTGATCTCGGGGATAGCCCATTTCGACCATTGATGCAACGGTCCTATTGAACTCCTCGCCCATAAGTAAATTGGATTCGGCGCGCGATTGTAGTGAGGCATTGGCTAATTCACCAACCAAGTCAATACTAGAATAATCAGTTGTTATGGCCGTGGTAACAGCTGGAATTGGAACTTCAGGTGCAGTCGATATTTGAGTTTGAGATGATGATCCAGATCTTTCTATCTCGACTCCTAAAACATCAYTTGACCTATTATTATTATTAATTATTCCCTTCTCGGCTGAGGATGCAATCGCGTTTTGTAGAACAGGCTTCTTATCAATTCCAGTTGTTGAGCCTTCCATTTGCTCGTTGGGCTGCTTTCGCTGTCCATCTGCATTTGTGTTGCTGCTAGTTCCGCTTATGTCTCGACTGAGCATCACTACAATGAACTTTTTTTCATCAACTTTGTACGAACTAATTGTTCGCTCATCTGTTAGAATGACGCCTTAAGAAAAAAATCACATTAACAGTCATGGACATGTAAATATGTATACAAAATTTTTGTTGACAACGAACTATTTAGTTAGGACTCGTACCAGCATAAATCAGTTTTTGTTTCTCCACAAGGTATTCTGCACCACGTTCGTAAAAGATTTGATTTTTAAGCTCCAAAACCTATAAAGCAGATAATGAAATTGTATGTATGCACATGTGTAAGCATGCATGTGTGTATGTACATATGTAGGGCCCGAGAATTAATGCGTTTGCTAACAAAATACAATTTACCGTTTTTTCTGGATCAAAGTCAATTGTGAACGTTTGCTGCTGCAGATTCTTTATTGTAATAATCATTTTACAAATTTTTATTTGGGACTAAATCGGTCTTTTTAAGTTTTCCCTTGGTCTATTCTTTCTCACAAAATTGTTTGTCATCGACACTAGAGATGGTCTAAAATATATTAATATCGAATATCGAATGAGCGATATTATTGTTTGTAATTAAAATTTTAGTAATATAGATTTCAAGGATGTCCTTAAGATATGAAAAAATACTAAATGTGCCTAATCTTAATAATTTTTTGTAACAAACTGCAATAGAAGACATTGTTACCTAAGTATTTGATTCATCAGCTTCAATTAATTTTATTATTCAATTATAATACGATTTTTTAGTTAATTTATGTGTTTATTACAACGGTCCTAATATAGCATCCATATAAATTTACAAATAACATATAATTCTTTTGATTGACTCCACCGGCAGCACCTATATAACAGAATCCGGCTAAATGTTTTTAAATACCAAAATGTGCCTTAATATGTACTATGTACATGCACTCTTATATATAGTCAGTATATGTTAAACATATTAATAAAGCGTAATAAAATTAAAAAAAAAATATTAATAATAATAATAATTGATTAATATGTTTATTAATTGCGTAATTGTTTTTCCATATTATTTTATGTGACTGTATATTTATTATAAATATTACAATATTAATAGTTGTAGTCTGGCAACGCCAAAGTAACTATCAGTTGGTTATGCTAATTAACTGTTAAAGCAATTTTTTGGCGCGCATGCGCCATTATCATACTCATACTGGCAAAATTATACAATACAAAATAAGTTTTTCAACCGCACCGAACAAGTGATTTACAAAATTTGAGATAGGAACGCGTACTGTAAATATGTATATTACGTTTATATATCTACAATATTTGCCTTCAAATATTTTTAATAAGGATACGGTAACGGTAACTAATATTCTTTTTTCACAATTAGGCAATCCAATTTCTAATCTTGAGCTAAATTTACAACGCTAACAATTAAATCAATTGCAATATATACATACATATATATGGTGTATGTGTTCATCAACAAATTCGAGTGTTAAAAGTATAATTATTA